TTTAATTTTCTCTCCATTTTTTCAACGCATTGTGCCGTTCTTCCAATTTATCTTCAACCTTCTAATTTTTCTATAAATCATTAGTAGGATCTAATATGCTTTTCTTATTATTGTGCCTATCATTTTTTAAAATTTAGTTTGCACTTTTGCTAATTTGAAAAGAGAGTTTAGCAACAAAAAAAGAGCAGATACTATAATAGGTGTAGAAGAATGTCCAAAAAAAAGAGAGTTTAGCAAAATTAAGTCGAGCAACATTCACTTGATCTTTTTATACAACTGTTTTGGTAATGATATATTCGCCTTTATTTATTAATGTGTGTAATTATGTATTTACTTAAACATAATTATTTATCAATGTTCTCCAATCATTCTCTTGGATGAAAGATCCACAATGTATCTCTGTCATTTGTACAATTAATCATAATTCATTTAGTTTTGGTTTTATTTATTTTTACGGTATTTCATATTTTCTTTAATCATATATGTAGTTTAAATGTATGTTGAAAGCGAATTGAAGTAAATCACCAAATCTGTAGTATAAGATATCATTCAATCAAAAAAATTAATGTGATATTCCCTTAGTCTTAACCAAACACAAATGAGATACAACTGAATACATCTCATCAATCTAACATACCCAACAATCTAACATTCCCAAAGCAATCTGACATTCCTTGAACCAAACAGGGCCTTAAAGTATCATCAGAACCGGTCATAGGGGGTAGGAACCTAGGCAATGGCCTAGGGCACTACCCCCAAAGGGGGCATCATTTTTTAATAAAAAATCTAGTCTTACATATATGTATATTAATATACTAATAATAATATATTAATATGTACTCCGTATGACCAATTGACCATCCCTCTGCGGCCAGTGGGCAGGGAAAAGTCTGGGCGGAGTTCTACATCTAATTTATTACGGAGTAATTATTATTTATTAATTGTATTAAATTTGAAATTTTGTGTTATATACTTTTTCTAATTTTGTAGCAGTTATTTGTTTAACAAATTTAGTCTGAAATTTGAATTTTTTTGTATATATTTTCTAATAGTTAACATTAAATTATTATTTTGTAGTGTCTACTACTATGATGGGAAACATAAACAAGAGTCAAGAGCTTCAAAAAGAAAATTTAAGAAAAGAAAAGATGAAGTAATGCAAACTTTTGCGGGTTCCATGGATAAGTATGTAAAAATTAATCCTTCTACATCGACCTCAAACAAAAATCTTGAGGCAAATGATAAAGATGAGATTGAAAATATTGATGTTCAACTTGAGAACCAAAATGAAAACAAGGATGAGGATAGGTGTTGAAAATGATATTGTAGATGTGTTATCTGTTACTCTTGATATGACCGAGTTATGTGATCCAAGTAACTACTCTTGATTGTAGTGGTGTGCTGACAAATTTTGCACATCAAAAGGCAAGAAAAATAGGCTATTAGGTAGTGCTTTTATAATTTTATTTATTTCTTAAAAGAATTCTGTTTTCAAATACTTTATATCAATGTTAAGTCAAGTATTACCTTTTACATTAAGTAAAAAACGGTTTTATAATTTTTTAATTATATCATATTTAATCATGTTATTAATTTTAAGTACTATTTGATCTCATTAGTCATTCTTTGTCTGGAGCATCAAAACTTCTGGAGACGGCCCTGAGTATCGTCATGTGGACCAATTAAAATAATGCATTTTAGTGATTTAAATATAAATAAATGATAAAATAATGACATGAATCAATGGAATGCAAAAATATGGGTTTAATGGACCAAACCTCGTCATAGTATTTAAATTCGAAGCAATAGCCCTGTGTGATTTAAAAAAAAACGTGTCAAACTCTCCGGTGTTATAATTATTTATGCACAAAACCTCCTCCAAAAACAGTTTTTACAATTTTGAAATCACTTTACTTAACAATATGATTGAATATGCAAGTACCTTTGTCATGATTTTTAAATTTTACTAATTATTTTTCATTTATTTGAAAATTAAATTTGTTCATTGAAGAGGTCTTGTGCATTAATAGTTAACTCGTATAACACAAGTGAGTTTGACACATTTAATAGGGTTGTATGTTCTATTTTTTTGGGAACAAATATGTTCTCAAGTTTATTTGAAAGTGCATATATATCCCTGAACTTTTAAAAGGTGCAAAAATACTCTCATGTTCCTATAAAGGAGCAATGTTACCCTTATTGACAATAAATAGATAAAATAATTTTTTTTTGAAGCAAAACAGAACCATATCATTCATCTAATAAATCGTTCACCAGCTGACTTACAACACTGTGTGGAATATCATTAACATAGCTAATCTGGGCTGGTAATAACACACATTATCTAGCTATTGTATGAGCAACATGGTTCGCAGACCTTCTACTTGTGTCCAATTCTCCCTTTTATTATTTTTATATCACAATTTAATATTGTTAGTATAAAATATTATTTCAAAACTTTACTATAAGTTAAGATTCTTTTAGAAAAGTTTTAATATATGTGTTGCAATGTAAAAAACCATTATTTTTTCGTATTCTTTTGTTATCATAAAAGAGCGGCCATTATATTAAAATCGAGAACACATACAAGACAACCTTTAGACAAAATTTACATATCTAATCGTGAACCCTAGGAGTAGACTTAGAGTTAGCCACCTCATACAAAGCAACACGACTCGCTAAACCTGAAACGGGTAAATTTAGGCCTAAAACGACCAGAACTGAAACCCTACCTATCAAAAGAATTCCAAAAATCCAAACATTCAAACAAAATCTTTCCACAAATAGAAAATAGTTGCAACTAAAGAGAAAATAATAGTGAAATAAAATCTTTCCACAAAGCTCTTCCTAGTATGGAGGTGGTTCTGGAGAAGGACGAGCTCTTGGAATATGGGTGGCGACCAACTCCACCACCGTCAAAATGGCCGACCAGGACTTCACGGTCCAACCTCGATACAACCTCCCAATCGCACCTCATTCATCCGCCATCGCTATCTCCTTCGACGTAGTTGCAACTCCCAAGCGTTGAAACACTTAGAATCAGTATAATCTACCGCTCCAACCTCATATTATAGGGGCGGCGGAAAATCTCACCCCCTACAAAGAGGGGAGACGGTCGCTAGAGTTCCTCTCTCTCTCTCTAGAGAGAAGAGAGAGTTCGGCACTATAGAAGTTATTTTCTTTTTCTTTGCACTATAAAATTACATATTTTGTATTTTACATTGTAAAATTACATATTTTGTATGATGACAAATCGTTTTCAAAATTATAAAATAGTGGATTAAGGTCAAACAATATCAAATAATTTTATTTCAAAAGTTGTAGCAATGTGTTCAAAAGTTCGCAACAAGAAAAAAATTAATATTTATGAATTTGAAGTGTTTCATTTCTAATGGAAAATAATAATTGTGCAATTTAAAATTAAAGAGTTAATATTTTAACATAAAAATAAATCTTTATTTTAAACTCTTTTTTATTTCAATTTCAAATTTATAATTTATTTTTAGTGTTTTTAAAAAAATTATTTTATTTAATTGAAGTCAATAAGGGTAAATTTGCTCTTTTATAGGAATATGGGACATATTTTTGCAACCTTTGAAAGTTCAGGGTATATATGCACATCCACAAATAATATAAAGATTCACTCTGTGAACTTCAATATGCAATACAAATGATATGCAACACTTTGAACTTCAATATGCAATACAAATAAGTCTTGAGCAAAGAAAAAGAAAATAACTTCTATGGTGCCGAACTCTCTCTTCTCTCTAGAGAGAGAGATCATGTAGTACAAATAATATAAAGATTCACTCTATGAACTTCAATATGCAATACAAATGATATGCAACACTTTGAACTTCAATATGCAATACAAATAATATGCAGTACAAATAATGTAAAGATGCATGATTTGTGGCAGTTTGTAGGTTAGCACAGGAGGACTAGTTTGTATGTGATCTCACCCTATATAGATACGAGATCAAATACAAACCATGCTTAAAATACTAACCTACAAGTTCAATAATATGCAACACTTTGAATTTCAATATGCAATACAAATAATGTAAAGATGCACACTGTGAAATTCAATATGCAACACAAATAATATGCAACACTTTGAACTTCAATATGCAATACAAATAATATGCAATACTTTGAACGTCCATATGCAGTACAAATAATGTAAAGATGCACAGTTTGTGACAGTTTGTAGATTTGAATGGGAGGACTAGTTTGCATGTGATCCCACCCCTTAATATATATGCATATATACATTTTCCCTATTATAAATCACAAAGAACTAATACGCCGAATTTATATTTCACAAGTGAGTTTGGTGCTTTAAATCTGCAAAAATATCATTATATTAAATTTTTAATGAAGTATTGTACCATTTATTTTTTTTGGATTTATAATATGTGCTTTTAGAGCCCGTTTGGTAACACGAAAATCAGCTGATTTGGCTGATTCTGCTGAAATTTATGAAATTCTGGCTGAAGTGGCTGTATTGGTTGATTCTGTTGTCTAAAAAAAAATTAAATATATTTTTATTAATAAAAGAGAATATGGTAGTACCAGATTTGGCAGTACCAGATTTCAAACATGGTAGTATTTTCCAAACTTAGCAGTAATTACTCCTATTTGGGAATAAAAAAACATGACAGTCATATTTTAGAATTTTCAAACCGTTTTAGTCCTATTTCGGGAACTTTCCCTTAATAAAATAGTGAAAAATCATATGTAAAAATAGCTAAAATAGTCATCAACAGTAATTTCAGCCAATACAGACAGCAAAGTAACCTCAACCTTACTTTTTCTTATTATTACACAATTCAGCGCGCGAAACTAAAAGTTACGTGTTTGATAAAAAAGTTAGCTGATGAGCCTGATAAGCCAAAAAATAATGTTATCAATCCGTCTCTTAATAATTTGAAAGCCTTGTCAAAATCAGCTCTTAATTACTCTATATTAGAAGAATTTGTATTCTTGTCATTCATTCATCAATGAATAGAAGAAATCCCAACAAATCAAGAACCAACCAAAATCGAATTCTATCACTCCTTTTATTTTTTGTTTGCTGTTCCTGAGGCTTCGCTCTCTACTTCAGTTGTCTGTTCTATAGCTCACCTTGACCCCTATAAGAAGTCCTTTGCGCCATCATTGCTACTCTCCCTCATTCAACCCCCTTCACTAAATCAGTAGTACATCTTGACACAGATAGAGAGACATAAAAGGAAACAGGAAAAGAAGATTGGAGAGAGGAAGAAAAGAAATGTATACTGAGAGTGGGCTACTGTTCCCTTATTACTTCCAGAGCTTTTCTCAGGAAGCTCCACACCTTCAAGAACTCTATGTCTCTCACAGACCCAATGCTTCAATGGTTACTATTTTCTCTTTCAATATTGGGGATTTCCTTTTACAATATCTTCTTATTCTTAGGTTTTATTCTCTGATCAATATCTTTATTCTGGTGATTTGAACTTCAATTCTCTTGATTTGATGTGATCTTTTGCTTCCTATTTCTGTGAGCTTTATTTCAGTTTGTTGTTTATGGATGAAAATTTTGGGGAAAGAGAAAGAAAAGTTCAAGTCTTTATTAGTTCTAAATACCCACACAAATTTCTTTATGTAGGATACATAAAGAAGGCAGCTGAGTTTCACTTATGTGGTAGATCTGCATGTTAATGGCAGATGGTTTTATTTCTTTTATTTTTTCTTTGTTTTTCTGCCATGGATCCACATTTTTCACAGTAAAGATATGTAGTGACTACTGATTAAAAGGTTGGGAAAAAGAAACGCTACAGTGAGGGGGCCCTTTCTTGTTGGCATTGATAGGGAAGCTTATTAAGTGGGAATAACAACCTCTTTCTTGCTAGCTTCTTTTAATATAAAAAAAATATCCTGCTGCAATTTGACTGTTTGGTGGATAAAGCTTCTGCTAACTTTAATAACACAAGTAGCTAAAATTTGTCCACTTCTCTTTTCCTTCACATGTCATGTTTGATGAGTGTTATTTGTTTGAAATGACTAAGAGGCCGTTTGGTAACCTCATTTTTCGGCTTATCAGGCTTATCAGCCAACTTTTTCACCAAACACGTAATTTTCACTTTCGCGCGCTGGATTGTGTAATAAGCAGAAAAAGTAAGGTTGAAGTTACTTTTCTGGCTGTATTGGCTGAAGTTACTGTAGATGACCATTTTAACTATTTTTACATATAAGTTTTTCTTTATTTTATTAATAAAATATATTTTAAAAATAATTTTTACTCAAATCAGCAGAAACAGCCAAAACAGCCACTTCAGCCAGAACTTCATAAATTTCAGAAGAATCAGCCAAAACAGCCGATTTTTGTGCTACCAAACGGGTTCTAAAGGTCTATACTTGCTGAGTTTTTTTCAAGGAAAATTTTGATAACATCCATTTCAGCCTAATGGGTATGAATCGAAGGCTACTTATTCTTTTGATCGGCAGAGTTAAGCTAAAAGAGGTTACCAAACCGACCCTAAATATATGGGTTCCTTTATCAGTAATTAACATGATGTGACTTTTGATAAAAAGGAATCTATTGAATGCTAGACAAAGAATTTTACAGAATAATTGGTGTAATCTTTAAAATTTTGAATTAAAATAAACTAATCATTTGGCAGTCATACTTTTCTCAAATGGTAACTACTTGCAAGAATCTTTGTATGCCTTCTAATCTCTCTCCTTATCTAGGGATGGCCACAGTCTGTATTTCCAGGGAAGCTATTCATGGGGCTCCCATAATGTTTCGAGAATAAAATTAGAATACAAATTCCATTCATTTGTTATGTGGGTGTGTCTGTTTATATAGGGAGATGATCTGAGAAGTTCTCAGACGTGAAATATAACGTATAGTAACAAAATTTTTATAGTAAAAAAACCATAGGATGTTATACTTTGCTGTTAAAAGTTATATTTTTGTTACTATAAGTTATAATTCACTAGTGAGAAATAAATATTTATTTCTCACACGGTCTTTTTTTATATATGTATATAACTATATATATTCATAGATTTTTCTAGGAAACACATTGAACTTGTAATATGCATCTTTTGTTTTATTTTAAATCCATGGTTAACACTTATATGGCGTCTTTTTTGTTATTATCAGCATTTTCAACTTGTTTGCAATTACTCTAAAACAATCATAAAATGACACTGTCAATATTAGTTGTTGATATTAAAATAAAAGATGGAGATTAGAAGTTCTCATTTACAACCATGTGATTATGATAAAAGGTAGTCTCGTTACATTAAAAATGCTCTTAGAATGTTGTTTATGTCTCCATAAACTTGTTTTTTTAATCCTAATATGATGCATGCATGTAACAGACATCTTCAATATCAGAGTATGACCTTGGAGAAGAAGGGGATCTCTTCAAGGCGCCAGAACCAATTATTGAAGAAGAGCTGTTGGATCTTGATCCCATGACAGCTGCTATTTCATTGATTTCGTGTGCAGATGATGTCATCTCCCCACAAGGCCTCGAGGTCTCAGATATTATTGAATCATCATTTGAGAACGGGCAGATCCTCAGTGAGGTTTTCTATGAGTGCAAGAAAGATCTACTGGCCAAAGATGGAATAGAAATTCTACCACTCTCTCATGTTCTTGATCCCACCACCACTGAGGCTGGTGAAAAGATGACATCAGAAGAGAACCTGGATTCTCATGGATCTTTACTTCAGAAGAGTGCTAGTTCCGAGTCTCTAAACGCCTTGGTGGATTGGGTACAAGAGACTACTCCACTCACTGGAAAAATCTTTGATTTTCCACGAATGGAGTTTAGTGCTGTTTATGGGATGAGAAGATCACTCAGTGAAGGAGACATAAAGGTCAAGCTTAACTTTTCCTTTCTAAAATCATATTCCGAGTTTTACTGTTTTAGTACTCTGTATATCTTTTTTCGCCAACATGTTAGTTCCTCACAACTTTCATCTATGTTCACCTCATATTTTCTTTCCCTAATAGTTTTCTTATCCAAACGAACCCCAACGAAATTCTAGAAAAGAACACAGGAAGCCATTTTTTGCCGATCTATTTGTTAACTTAGCTAGGGTGGGGAAGAAGCCAATAGTTGATGCATTAGTGTGACTGCACAGCAGATGCCTGCTAAAGCTACACGACATTAATCATATGACTTAAAACGTAGCACACAATGATTATATGCTTAGATAACCATGAAATACAAAACCTTTAAAGAGTGCTGAAAAGCATGAAAGGTATGTGATGCGTTTTTTTACGTTGACATTACTTTGGCATACCATCATTTTCATATGTTCATAGTTCTAACCGCCAGCTGCGAGTAAATTCCTCTGACACTGAGCATGACCATTTCTTGGCTTGGTGATGAAGTCTGCAATCTGAGAAATGTATAGACGTGTTTACAACAGGATGGGGCAGCGTGATTGATGATAATGAGTTTTATTGACAGACTCTTGGTAACGGTAACGTAAACCTCATCCACTCTCCGCTGGGACTATGCAGTTCCATTTCTGAAGCACGAAAGGAGAAGCTATCGAGATATAGGATCAAGAAGGCCAAGAGGAATTTCGGCAGGAAAATCAAGGTAAGCTTTTCTTTCTGCCAAGCAAAACTCTTTTCTAAAACCAATGGTGTCAAGTCAAAATGTTACACCTAGAGTTTTAATCTTTCCTAAAACCAATGGTGTCAAGTCAAAATGTTACACCTAGAGTTTTAATCTTTCCTAAAACCAATGATGTTAAGTGTTAAGTCATTCCAGTTGTAATGACACGTGAGGGGCTGTGTTGGTGACAGCGGTTTGTAATGGTATTGACATAATAAAAGTTACTTGTGTAGCCAACTAGTCATTTTTTGAGAAACTTAAAGAGTAATTATTTTTGTTTCCTTTAGTAATGTTTATGTCAAATCCCCAAAATGTAAAGTCACGAGACTTTGGACCACTCTTCCTACGGGAGTCTCAATTCTCAAGTCTTATACTCCCTCCATTCTCTAATAGATGGGAGTATAGCATTTGGCACAAGATTTAAGAAGAAATTAATAGGGGTAGAATAAAAGGTGTAGTGGGTTGTGTGTAAAGGAAAAAGTATGAAAGAGAATGAAAAAGTAGGAAAGAGAATGAGGGTATATAGGTATATTTATTGAAAAAACTTTCTAAAAATGGAAAGAGAGACATGTATTAGAGAATATCCCAAAATGAAAAGAGAGACATGTATTAGAGAACGGAGGGAGGATATCATATCTTAACATAGTATACTTTAGGATGGAAATGATGGTTTAATATGGTACTAGAGCCTCTAAAACACAATGAGTAACTTGATTCTGATAAGTTTCGATAACGAGCATGCAAATTTCAAGATCAGTAGGTCTAACGAGCCACGATCTGGTAGAATGACCTTTTAGGATCAAATTCTATATCTTAGCAAGTATTAAGCTGAGTCATGTGAGAGAATCATTGTTTGTCATCTTAATAAATCTTTGATAACCGATGTCTTGTTCTTGTTTATGTGCAGTATGCATGCAGGAAGGCATTGGCAGACAATCAACCAAGGATCCGCGGAAGATTTGCGAAAACCGAAGAAGCAGATGCATCCAAGGAGCACTGACTGACTGTTCAACACTCTACGGAAGAGAAAGACGGTACGCTGCGCTGAAGGATCGAATGGTTGTACTGATTAGTTATTCGCCAAGAAAAAAGGAAAAATCTTGTGGAAGTAGTTGCTGGTTTGTTTGTTGTTTGATCTGTTCTTAGCTGCAATAAAGTCCCGGGTTGATTAGTGATCTGGGTACAGATGCGATGTATATATTGTCCACCGCTGAATAAGAATTATTTGTATGCTCCTTAAGAAATTTGCAAGTGTTCCAACATTTTTCCCACATGCACAAGCCATAGAGGAGCTTGGCGTGTGACGGACTCTTGATAACGTTGAATAAGTTGTACAAAATCTTCTATTCCCCTTTCTACATCCCAATGTCTCTCTTCCTTTCTGATAGGCGAAATCATGACAAATTATACCATATGCCCAGGTGTACAAGTATATTGTGTATTTTTGCACCCGGTGTCCAGGTATGTCTAGATACTCCTTTGTCTACTCCTTTGTATTTTCTCAAATTTGAGCCTATTTTTATACTCCTTCCGTTTTCTATTCAAGTTTTCACTTTCTTTTTTAGAATATCTCATACGTAGTATTAAAATTCACATATCTATTTTTGGAAACTTTGTTTGTCTAAAATGACTTTAATATCTCTACATCATTTCCCACATGAGATGTTTTCTTTTGGACTGTTTTCAGTCCCAGAGCAAACCAGACCAGACTAGTAAATTTCAGTCCAAAAGAAAACATCTATGGTCCACATCTACTTGCCCTCCCTCATCTGTCTATTTTGTGACCATCTATTTTGTGACCATCTATCTTGTCTTAGTCTCATGTCTTATCTCAGCCCTTCTCTTGTCATCTCTGGCTGTCTCATCTTACCTTTGTCTCCTTAGTTGCCCCTTCACATGTGTCCTTTAATAGCAATCTCCAACGGAATGGATGAAAAATCCGCCTCTCGCCGGATCGAGGCTACTCACTTCGGAAATCCAAGAAATGTGAATTCACCGATTTAGTACTCAGATTGTCTCCCATGTATTTCAGATCTGGAAAGTGTGAAGTCCTTTCGAATTTCAAATTTGCAAATACAAGCAAGTTTGTATGCAACCCTTAATCCCCCCCCCCCCCCGGAAATAAAAATGTTTATGAACTCTAGATTTTCAACATGTACGACCTGTACAAGCATACTCATCACCAACCATCATTTGGTTTGGCAATTATTCCTCTGAACGGAACTTAATCACTTACCAGTGGCAAAGCCACCTTAGCTCAAAACTTAAATCTTAAATCCGCCACTGTCACTGACACGTATGAAGGAGTGGATGGTTTGGAGGAAGAAGGTGGAGATGTTACTTCAACTTTGTATGATGGTTTAGGGAAGGGAGCATTAGGGAGAGACAGAAATGATGATTTGGGGGAAGGAGAAGACCTATATCGAGGCGGTCCTCCATCTAGAAGGGCTTGCTTCTCGGGGTAGTAGTCTCTTTTTCTATATTTATATTTGTGTTGTTTACTTGTTGCATGCTATGAATGTGTTTTGCCTAGTGTGATGATTGAATGTGTGTGAATTGCCTACAATGTAATGTATGATGTGAAAACTAATTATTATTAGGGGCATTGAGCTTAATCGTGATTGTGAATCTATGTGGTGCCTATGTAATGGTTGAATTTGTGTGATTTACCTTTAGTCTGAATCTGTGTGGTCCCTCAATATGTGATTGTGAACTTGTGTGGTTTGCCTATTGTGATATGTGATTATGAACTTATGCGACCCATCTATGAAATGTGTTCGGGGTCAAGTTTTAGAATACTATGGAACTTTAAAACGCCATATGAGTTGCATTCACTTCAGTAGCACGTGCTTACAATAATTAGTGTACATTTGCAAAAGGAATAACATAAAAATTGTACTTTCATAAGTGTGAAGTACAAAAAAAGAATTGTACGCCTAATGCTAAACAAAGTGTTATAAACAGTGTGTACATACAAAATATAGCAAAACATTAAACTGTTTGTTTCACATAGACAATTGAGAGATGAAGGTCTTGATAATTTTCATCTATCAACTTTGTCCTTGCCACCACACTGTTTGTCCCTTTTATGTTTGTTGCCATGTATCCTTCCATGTACGCTTTAACTATGTTATACACTTCTGCACTAATCTAGACATTTTTGCGAAACAACCCCTGCCTTCCCAATCTGTCCTTGCCAACATATTTGAGTTTGAAGTTATTGCCACCATTGTGCTTTAAAATCCCCCCATTACATATTGATACCTTAAGAAAATTTTAATTAAGGTTTGAGTTGTGAGCTCATTGAATGAAGTTTGTACTCATTCTATTAAATCGTTGATAGATTTTTGGGGATTTATGATCTTTCAGAGAATCAATAGCCCTAAGAACACCTAAATCCAACACATTTAAATCTAGGCTATTTGGTGGCTTACACGCAATTCAATGTTCCATCTATCTTTTGTTCCTCTATAAAATGTAGATCACTTACCTATTTATGTGGTCTACCATTATCTTGTTGTATAATGACTTTTTTTTTCTGCATTCGGCCACTTCTCTTTAATTGATGGCAGAATTTTGATTAACATTACGTCTTTAATTACCAGTCTAGTCACACTTAATGTTGCGTGCTTTCGTCTCCCAGGTCTCGTCTAGCATATTCTTGCTTACTCTCTTAGATGTGTCTTCATAAGTGAATGGAAGTATATCGATTTTCCATCTCGTTGTACCTCCCCAAATTACCTATTCTAGGCCTACCTACTGCAACAATAAACAATACTTTTGGCATGAATTTTTTGGATTGTGTTGTTCTGTAGAGGTCCTCTTTTGTTAAGGAGGCATACAATGATGTTGTTTCTTTTGATAAGCATAATCACTTCTCATCTATGTGTGCATGGTCATAGAAATCATGAAAAGTGTGGGAAAAGGGAAGTGAATGAGGAACATGTGAGTTAGGCATAATTCTAACCTTTTGAGCATTCCTTTTTCTGTCAGAAGAGGCCGGCTTCATGAAATTAGAATGTCATTTATTTGTTTGTCCTGAAATTACAATTGACTTTGACACTTTCATAGCATATGCCAACGACCTCATATTTTTCCTTTGATGATAAGAGATTTGTGACATTTTGTTCAAGTCAAATGCAACTCTTTTTTGTCTTACATTGCCTACTCATTTGCTATGCACATCTATGGTTGTCCAAACTGCATTTGCACTTTTGCTTTCACCCATAGCTTGTGTGCAGTTCTTGTTGAGGTGTTGAACTCATTTGCTACATTTTTGTTGTTCCCCTCTGAAGTTTTCCATTTGTTGCTTCACCTAACAATATCTCTATTATTCTGCTTCGCTTTTCTATTGACAACTTTTGCTAGTGTTGTTGTTGCTTGTGACTATTATGGTTGTTATTGTGAGAATAATGGAAAGGCTTACCAATATGGTAGCCCTAGGTGTCATATATATAATAAAATATGTCCTGAATACATTAGGAAACCTAATAAATATGGAAACCTAATTAATGGTATTAATTACACTATTACACCCCCTCAAGCTGTGCAGGGGAAACAATGTGCAGATTGTCCCTAAGAAAAATAAAACGCTGTGGTGACAGACATTTAGTAAAAATATCTGCTAGCTGAAACTGAGTAGGAACATAGCGAACCACCAGATCTCCATGAGAAACTCTCTCTCGAACAAAGTGATAATCAATGCTGATGTGCTTGCTCCGGGCATGCTGAATGGGATTAGTGGACAAGTAGGAGGCAGAAACATTGTCACACAATAGTTGTACCGGATCCTGAATCGAGACGCCTAATTCGAATAGAATTGAGCGAATATGTAGTGTATCCTGAACGGTGTAAGCAATAGCTCTATATTCAGCCTCTGTAGAAGACCGGGAGACATTGGGCTGCTTCTTGGACTTCCATGAGACCAAATTTGGACCCAAGAATACAGCAAAACCAGAGGTAGAACGGCTACTGTCAAGACATCCGGCCCAGTCAGCATCTGAATAAGCCTGCAAAGTAGGAGAAGTAGTGGGCTGGAGAAGCAGGCCGTGAGCAGCTGACCGCTGTAGATACCTGAAAATACGCTTAACAGCCAATAAATGAGTAGTACGGGGTGCATGCATAAACTGAGAGACTAGGTGAACAGCAAATGTAATATCGGGTCGAGTCATAGTCAAATACTGCAAAGCACCTACCATACTTCTGTACTCAGTAGGATCTGCAAGAAGATCCCCATCAGTGAGAGACAGCTTAGTTCGAGTAGGCAGCGGAGTACGAACCGGTTTAAGAGTGTGGAGATGAAACCGGTTTAATAGACAGTCTAATTTTTTTTTTTCGTTCCAATGGCCTCCCTGGTAGTGTCCGCCGCCGCCACTGAGCCGACTGCCGCCGTCAACTCCTCAACGACGAGCGAGCAGCCGCAGATGAGCGCGGGACAACACACAGAAGCGTCCGAGCCGCCGTCCGCAAGCTTCATCTCCGATGACGTGCTGCCAACGTCGCTGAGCTCCGCCTGGATTCCGTCGATCTTCACGTGGACTCCGACTCCACCGTCCCTCACGATGCCGACGCTGCTTCCGGCTGACTCACAAGGAGAGTCAAGCGCGGCCGCCGCTGCCCGGTTTGCTGGTCCGACTCTTTCCGGCAGCCCGGGGCTTCTCTTGCCGCCAAATTCAGGGACAATCGGCCGCAGCCCCTTAGCCAACACACTACCTGTTTCGTTTGCTACTTTGGCTCAAGGTATGACGTTTGGGGCCTCAATTACACAAATCGTGACCTCAAAATTACTCAAAGTAGAGGATTATTTGCCATGGCGTACTCAGTTCGAATCCTTTTTGGTGGCTAATGGTGTTTTGGGCATTCTTGACGAATCCCTTCCTGCTCCGCCTCTATACACCTATGATTTATATCAGGCTCAATCTATTAATCCTGAATATTATCATTGATTGAAATTGGACCAAACTGTTCGTGCTTGGCTTTTTGCTACCCTATCTAGGGAAATTTTGATGGAGGTTCACACTTTGAAAAATTCTTTTGCAATCTGGCAACGTTTGGAGTCTCGGTTTATGGCTGCCAGCCTGGCACGATCCATGGAGTTAAAGCAGATGTTATCTCACACCAAGAAAAAGGAGAATCAGTCCATGGAAGAATATGTCCGTGGCATTCAAACTATTGCTGACAATTTAGCCTCCATCAATTCCCCGGTTTCCAATGCTGATCTTATTCAATATACTCTTTTAGGCTTAGGGTCGGGTTATGAATCACTAGTGAGTCCCCTTACCTTGTTTCCTGAAGGTCTCACTTTCGACAAATTAGGCACGAAGCTGGTTCATCAAGAAGCACGCTTACGCTACCAACAGTCCTTGGAACCGTCACTCTCGGCCCCGGCTTTCGCTGCACTTCCACCCGGCGATCATCAATCCCAGCAGTCTGGCCGAGGTCGTGCAGCATCCTCCAGCGACAATCCGCAATAGCCGCCCGGCCGAGGCGGGCATGGTGGCCGGCGAGGACGCGGCAGAGGGCGTGGCCGTGGCCGCTACCAGCCGCAGCAGCAGTACGGGCAGCCCCAGCCGTACTTCGGTCCCGGACAGCAACACTATCCGACGACAGCACATCCTAGAGGGACAAATCAACCACAAAATTGGGGACCTGGTATAGTTTTTTGTAATACAGTTGAGTCATCGTTTAATACTCCTGCTCTCTCTACTTTTTGTACTAACTATGCCTCTGCAGGATCTTCCTCTTTTGAGAATAGTTTTGGTTCAGTCCCTCCACCTGTTGTTTGTCAAATCTGTCACTCCCCAGGTCATTCAGCTGTAGCGTGTCCGTCTCGTTTTGTTCAAACTCAGGCTCCAGCCTTAGCGGCATCTACTGGTGAAGCCACGCCAGCCGTTTGGTATCCCGATTCCGGTGCTTCCGCTCACATGACTCCAAATGAAGGTATTTTGAATAATAAATCTATTTATTCTGGACCACTAAAAATTACGGTTGCTAATGGATCTAATCTTCCTGTTATGACTACCGGTAATTTGCATCTAGCTACTAAGCCTAGGCCTCTCCATTTAAACTCGGTTTTTCATGTGCCTAACCTTAAATATGGAAACCTAATTAATGGACCATAATAGTGTAATTAATACCATTAATTAGGTTTCCATATTTATTAGGTTTCCTAATGTATTCAGGACATATTTTATTATATATATGACACCAAAGGCTTACCAATATGGTAGCCCTAGGTGTCATATATATAATAAAATATGTCCTGAATACATTAGGAAACCTAATAAATATGGAAACCTAATTAATGGTATTAATTACACTATTAGTTATGTGTGTCACTTTTTGCCTTCGTGAAATCAAAGTGTGAACTTAAATACAGGATGGAGGGACTATTTTATATATTACATATTCTTTTACTCATCGATCTCCTTCCATTGATTGTTTTTAATATCAATGTTCTTATTTTATATCTAAAATTGACTATTGTGAATTCCAAAAAATGAATATTTGATTACAAATATCTCTCCCTCTTCACTAAAAATATTGCAAGTTGTTTAATGATTGACTCATAAATATAGAATTTTCACCAATGGTTTGAAAAATTCCAAAGCGAATACTCATTCTTTTTTAGGGAAACTTTTATTTCTTGTTGCACTTGTATAAAAGTTGACATATTTATGATTGTTTGAAATAATAATTCTTGTTTTGAGTAAATATTTCTAATATTTTTCTGCATTTATCTATCAAAAATATTAAATGTTTTTTTATTGTACTTTGAGTTTATGTTTAAAGAACTTGCATGTTTCCAAAGATATTTTTTATATTAATAAGTAAACATAGCTGATTTAGTTGTATTGTGTGTATTACATGTTAAATATTGAAATGAATTTTGTGTTATATTTGAAATGAATACAATGTTTAAAATAAATCTGCATTGATATATCATAAAATAAGCACAATAAAAATTGTATGTTTAGGATAAGAAATTCTAAATTACTTTTGTTAATACAATTGGTATATTTTTATGGCTAAATCTAATTATTTATGTTGGTTTGTAAAGGGGTGGCCCTAAGGGGGTGCAATGAGTGTGACCGCCCTAGGCTCGGAAAAATGAGAATTTTTAAGCCCGATATTATTTACTTATGCATGCTTAGAGTAGGTCTTTTCAACATGAATTCCTAGAAAAAATGATTTTGAATGATGATTTCACTTCACAATTTTATTTAAGAAATGATTTCAAGTGAAATGTATAGTTTTTACTTTTAGTTGATACTTTTTGTGCTACTTTATTGAAATGTGAGGCTTACCTTACATAAATTTGTCATTGTCATGCCCCTTTTACATAATTTATTACACTAAATACTTTTGAAAGCATGATCGAAAAAATGAAAATAAGCCCACACTTAAATTTCGCTAGGAGTGGACCGCTCACCGGTCCTAGACCGAGACCGGCCTGGTGAATATTGTTATTTTGATAGGGTAGTTTCCAATTCTCGGTCGATAACGGACCCAGTCTTGAGTTCAAAATTTTGAGCGGTACAAGACGGTTTAACCCCAACAACTATTATGACTGTTAAGGATGGTGGTGGGGTGGGGGTAAAAATCGAATTATAAATACTTATCATTCTTCTCATTTTTCATACACTTCAACTGTCTCAATATCTCATCTTCCTCAATCTACAAGCTACACTACTACACTCTCTTATCTATTCATATTATTTAATTAATATTTATATTATTTAATATTCATATAAAGAGCCCTAATCCGATTTGAGTTTCGAACGCGAGACCTCCCGTAAGGGAGAGTGAGTCAGCGACTAGCTGGGCTGAACTGTTTCCTCAATTACTCCAGGCCCCCTAGCTTCCCTCTCCCAGACGCCCCCAGGAGTAAAAAAACACAAATTAACGAGAGCCCTAATCTGATAGCAGTGTTTCGTATGTGTGAAGGAGTGGCTATGCTACGTTGGTTAATTTGGAATAAGAAAAACGAATTGTATTGGATCCTTTCCTGGGCACTGGTGCTCCGAGGTGTTTTGTCTCTCTCGAAGTGGAGAGTTGATTTGGTGTCCCGACTAGCTTCGTCTAGTCAGAGGTTCTTGTCTGCCTTCTTTTAAAGTGCATCGACATTGGTAGAGCTCGTCCTCCTCCAAAATCACCTCTTTGCTTGAAGAGTTTTGTGAAAATGCTTTATTTTAAGTTTATTTTTTCATTAGTGGTACTTGTTTTTATTTTAGTTTGAGTATGTTTGGTTTGAAAATTTAGACCTCCAGAGTACATTTTATAGGCATTATACCAGGTTGGATTGTTTTAGGCTTTAAATTGCTTGTTTCGTGTCTAGTGAATCAGGTGCCTGATTCGACATCTATTCTCAGGATTCACAATCGGATCAGTCATAATTGTTTGGATGATGTCTTGTATCTTTTCTCGATTTTAATATAAATTAAAATCCGATCCTTTATATTCAAAAAATCATATAAGTATTTCTACTACTATTATAGTTATCGTGACATTATCATATCATTATCCTAATGTCAGGCTCTACAAAGTCTATTGATTTTGATAATCTATCACGTAATCATAAGAATAAAGTTCTTAATTCTTCTACTTTCCATAGTCGTGCGTGGAAAACACCTCATATGATCAAGATCAACGCCCCGTACGATCAACTCCTTCATCCCCGAGCCTGAAGGCGATCCTAGAGGCTAGAGACGCAATGACTGATGAGGAGATGAAGCAACTTTTGTCACAATACCATAGGTGAACAAGTTCTATCCATGCCGGTTTCAACGATTGCGGTTGAACAAGCGCGGAATATCACACCAACACGTCACTTCATGAGCAAAACAACAACTGACGCGAGGTGTGAAAGTTCCGGCGAGTATAATAGAGGTTGTTTATATTAGTATTTTCTTACAATTGCATTGTATAATATAAAATAAAGAGTTACAATGGTTTTGATTTCTCTATATTATATAGAGAATATGCAGATAATTCCAATAATAGTGCAAGTCACTTAAGTTTGAAAAATATTATGTAACTATTTATATTTGTTATATAATAAAGTTTAAAAGTGTTCCAAACATTCTAAACATTTAAACAAAGAGAAGGTATGAAATATTCCATCATTATCAAACTTGGGGCAAGTCCCGAGTGAGGCCTCTAATTAAACAAACTTGGGGCAACACTCACTATAGACTTACGCATAATTCTTCAAGTACTGAAATGGTCCATCAAGCCGATGACAAACAATTCAAGAAATAGAGAAAAATGGCTAGTATGTGATGCAAGTCAATAATGATGGATGAAAGTAGATGTTGGTGGGGTGGGCGGATGAAGAGATACAAATATGGAAGATGAAGAGGCTCTAAACATGAGTTGAAATAGGTGGGCGTGGTGGGTGGAGAAAGTAAAAAAGTGAGATCTAAACTAGGTGGAGACGGAGAGTGTCAAGGGTATAAAAGTCAATTTGCTTAGCATTTCCTTCCCAAAATAGAATTGTTGCATTTAATTAGAAACCACCGAAAAAGGAAAGTGTTGCATTTATTTAAAATTGGAATATCAATGCTTCTTGTACGTGTTTTGTACTTCGTATATGCTTTATCTACAAAGAGATAATTTGATGAAAATTTGCATCACACTAATTTTTCTTCATAGAGGAGTCTACCTTGTTCAAAGACTTAAAAATGACATTTTTCAAATATTGAAAGTGAGCCTGCATCACTGCATGCCCGTACGTTCCGCCAGCGCAAACTCAATATGCGGCGGTTTGTGCCTCTCGAAAATCGAACAAGTGATCGGAGGTCCATTTCTCTGCCATTGAACTATCACGATATCATTCATAAAACATAGAGAAACCACTCATTCAAAGCTCAAACTACAACATTTGTTAGAAGTTTCCAAAACCCATCCTTTTATAGTTTTATTCTTACAAAAACTAAATAGAGATATTTTGTACGTCTTTTTTAGTACAAACACAACTAAAGGTGCCAACAGTTTTCGGCCGTTGAGTAAACTGAACTCTGAAACTCTTCATCCGAATGTACTTTTGTCACGACTAAAAACCAAAACCTCCCAATTCAAAGCGGATTACCTCCGGCCACCAGCCGATCATGGGGACTGCAAATTTGTTACTTCATTTTTCCTTCTTCCAACGTTGTTGGAGGCCATTCCGGTCAACGGAAAACTCCGCAAAGGAAAAATCAAAAACTAAAAAAACACAACAAATTTAAGGTGGCCGGCCATCTCTAGAATGCACGCAACCTCGGACTAGGAGGTCCGGCGCAATTTAGCACTCGCCTCCCCTACGCTCTTAATTTGCACACCAAATTACGCACGCAATGCATCATCCTCATATACACACACACATATATATGCTCCGCATCATATAGATACACTTCTGTGTATGTATATATCAATATCAATTTACAGTACACATTTTCTCATTTCCTCACCAAATTTCCTGCAAAATGGATATCTTCAATGCTTGCAAGATTATTTTTTGTGTAAATTTATATACTCAATAAACGATTTCGTCTCGTTTATTTTTACTCTTCCTCTCTCTCTCATCGGTTGAAGCAGATTTCATCAGAATTTCGTGTGAACAGAGATCCCCATTCATTCCTCTGTTTTTCAACGTTCTCTCAGATCTTCGTCGTCAATTGCAGAGCTCCTGTTCCGGCGCAGAGCCTCTCCGCTGGTTTGAATTTCTCTTGTTCTGAATATTTATCCGAGGATTCCCGGCGGCTTCTTCGTTTTTAAGCTTTGAATCCTCAATTTTTAGTTAGGGTTCCGGTTCGAATTATTCGTGGATTGGGGGTAAAGTATTGGTCGGAGATGATAATCAAGCGCAGCTTAAAATCGGTAATGCCGAATTTAAAGAGGTGCCGGATTAGTGACTCGGGGGGAGATGATGACGAGGGATATAGAATTCGCAAGAGGAGGAAAGAAACCAATAAGAATGGGTATTACCCGCTGCGCCTGCTCGGGGAAGTCGCCGCCGGTGTTATTCCCTATCATGGGTTTGGTCTGCCGCGGGTTGGGGCAGAGGGAGGCAAAGAATTCACTGAGGTATCATATTGCGAGGATGAGGGGGATAAGAAGTTGAAGATGAAAGAGAGCATTAACAGAGTGCAGGAGGTTGCCAGGCCTCCACTTGTGAGGACTTCTCGAGGGAGGGTACAGGCACTGCCTTCTCGCTTCAATGACTCTGTTCTTGATAACTGGAAGAAAGAAAAGAGTAAGGCTACCACAGTAGAAGACTTGACTTGGGACCCTGAATTCACTCCACATAAAGAAAAAAACAGTAAAATCCGTAGCGAAGTTGGAAATAAGAAGCGGGTGAGTGATCATTTGAACTATCAATTAAGTAAGCGCTCGCCATTGTTGGACTATGAAACAGTGGAATATGAGATCAACGAGTCAAAAAGAAGTTTTGATGTTCGGAAGTTTCCTAATTCCAGGAGTTCACTAATGTCAATACATGATCGGTCCTCGAAAGCAGATAAGGATCTGAATGAAGACTTTGAAGAACGTGCAGAACTAAGTTGCGTTGAGGCATTGGCCATGTGTGAGGGAGAGAGAATGTCCCATAGATTTTTGCCTGAGAACTTTGAGTCTGGTGACATAGTTTGGGCAATATCTGGGAAGCACTGCCCAGCTTGGCCTGCAATTGTCCTTGATCCCAAAACACAAGTCCCCCAACAAGTTTTAAACTTTCGGGTTGTCGGCACGGTGTGCGTAATGTTTTTTGGTTACTCTGGCAATGGAACACAGAGGGTAAGTAAGACATATCAACTTGAACTTAATCTCTTGCTTTTGACGTCACTATCGGTTCCTGCATATTTAAGGGTAGTGTTTGTGTATATAAAGGATAAGTGATGAATTAATTATTTAATTAATATCCTTTATATTGTTGAGCAGGACTATGCGTGGATTCGTCGTGGGATGATATTTCCTTTTCTAGATTACGTGGACAGGTTTGCTATTCTTAGACATGTTTGGCGTGATGTTAAATTGTTAATTATATTGCAAACACAAAAATGTGTTTAATTGTCAATTTTGGACTTTTTTGGTATAACGGAAAAGATTGGAGTGTGGTGTTAAATTGGCATTTATATTGCAAACACACAAATGTGTTTAACTGTTAGTTTTCGACTCTGCACATGAAGGTTTCAGGGACAGACCAGCTTGAATGATAGCACGCCTGGTGACCTTAGGTCTGCTATTGAAGAAGCTTTTCTTGCTGAAAGTGGATTTAACGAGATGCTGATGGTTGAGATCAACGCGGTAGCTGGAAATCTTGATTATCTCCAGTCTATTACGAGAGGGGTTTTCGAGATATCTGAGTCAAATCAAGATGTTGAATGCAATTCACTAAACAAGGCAAGTTTTATGGTGACTCACGACTTTGTCACTTTCATTTGTAACTATTGTTATTAATTCAAAGTCAAAACTGCACTCTGCTGTTTCGTGGGTACGAGTTTGTCTGTCCTTATACGTTTGCTATCCTTCTCGGATATGGAAATGGAAAGACAATGGGTATATCATAAAGTGCAGATTTGATGCTTTGATACTTACCTCAAATGTTGTACTCTATTTATGCAGGATTTGTTGATGAAAAAAGAAGCAGATTCCTGCGAGGCATGTGGTTCATATATCCCTCCCAAAGTGTCCAGGAAAGTAAATGATTCGGCTCCTGGAAGCAACCGCTTATGTCCAGCTTGTGCAAGGGTTTGTTATGCTCTTTGCTTGTGTGTGTTTGCATATGATATGACTAATGCTTTACGTAAGATACATATGTCATGTTTGTTATGTGCTAATTACCACATCTTCATTCCAGCTGAAGAAAATTAAACATTATTGTGGCATTTGCCAGAAGATTCGTAATCCCTCTGATAGTGGGACATGGGTGAGTTAGCTTCACCTTTGTACTTAATTCCACGGATCTTAGATTTCCAATTTTGTCTCATTATATTTTCTCTGAAAAATCGTATAATTCCTTACTGGATTAGGTACGTTGTGATGGTTGCAAAGTTTGGGTGCATGCTGAGTGTGACAAAATCTCAAACAGTAATTTCAAGGTCTCCTCATCATGCCCTCATATTGTTTTCATTTTCTATCGTGTCCACATCGCTGATTATTGTACTTTTCAATTGTTTCTAGGAACTAGGAAACACAGATTACTATTGTCCTGAATGCAAAGCAAGGTTTAATTTTGAACTATCTGACTCAGAAAATGTGAATTCAAAATCCAAGTAAGTCCCATTGGAACTGAACAGATATCAAACAACAGAAGGTCTGATGGACTTTGTGTATTCCTAACTAGCATCGGTAATCACTTGCAGAAATATAAAAAAGGACAGCCAAGTTGTGCTACCTGACAAGGTTTCTGTTGTCTATGCTGGTGTGGATGGCATTTATTTTCCAAGACTTCATCTGTAAGATATTGTTGTTAATTCATTGCCACTTACTATGGAATAGTCATGGATGGGTACAATAGACTATATTCCTGTGGAGTATATATCTTTAGATTATCAATGTCTCTAGAATATGTTTTGTATCTTGAGTTATAACTGGCTCTTCAATTTACAGCCTGTTATTATATCATGGTTTAAGCAGTTAAAGTTGAAATCTATTGTTGCAGAGTTGTGTGCAAATGTGGGTATTGTGGAACAGAAAAGCAGGCACTTAGTGAATGGGCCCGTCATACAGGTTCGAAAACCAAAGATTGGAAGACCAGTGTCAAGGTGAAAGGTTCTTTGCTACCGCTGGAGCAATGGGTTCGTATCTTGAATCTATTTATTGACATTAAATTTGGCAATTTATTTTCCTGGGTCCTGTCATATTGTTTTTATCGTGTCTGTAGTTACTTTTTGTCATTCATCCTACACGCTTCTGATGTTTAACAGCATGATTGTGTTGTACACAGAGAAGTAGCAAACAATGTTTGTCCATACGTCTGGTATTCCTTTTTAGGATGACAATTGTGAAGCATTAGCTTTTTAAAATGAAGATTCTATTTAAATTACTTTCATAGAGCTTACACGATTTACTTTATACTCCCCCTGTCCCTAAAAGGTTTGGCAAATTGACTTTTCTTGGTCAATGGTAGTCAACTTTGACCAATGATATCTTTTAACATGAAATTATTTTGAATATAAAAATTATATTAAAATACTCCTTATTAAAAATATTTTCATAAAAGTATAAAACTTATAATATATACAAATATAATAATTAAAATCATTGTTCAAAGTTTGCCACCATTGACCAAGAAAAGTCAATATGGCTAACCTTTTCAGGACGGAGGTAGTATGACTTAACAGAAGGTTAACTCTATTTCACTTTACGTATGCTACAAATCGGATGGATCTTGTAACGTATTAGGAACTTGCGTAGTATAGTAGGTTAACTCTATTAGGATAGCTCTTGTAAACTATATTAACTTTTTAAAATAAATTCCCGGGTTGACTTTCACACTTTTTTAGGAAATAAATTTACTGAGGGGTAAATTTTACTGTTTCAACACTGTTTCGACACTGTTTGGCACTGTTTTGCACTGTTTTGATGTAGATAATTTGCTAAATAAGGAAGTGGGAAGTTTATTTTGGGACATCTAAATAAGGAAAGTGGGAACTTGTTTCCGGGACGGAGGGAGTATGACTTAGCAGGAGGCTAACTCTATTTCGCTTTACAGATGCTACAGATAGCAGAGTATCATGAACGGAGTGGTATTCCATCCAAACCTATAAAACGTCCATCTTTGAAAGTTAGAAAGCAGAAACTTCTCACTTTTCTCCAAGGTAAGTACTACTGGGTGCTGAGATTGGTGTTCTACTTTCCTACTTTACAGTATCCCTAATTAAGTCACTGACTTGACGATATTGAAATATGATAGAAAAATATGAGCCTGTTTATGCGAAGTGGACCACAGAAAGATGTGCAGTATGTCGATGGGTTGAAGACTGGGACTATAACAAAATCATCATATGCAATAGGTTTGATAAAAAGAATAGTCTTCCTTTAAATAAGAATAATAATGTCTTCTGCTTGCTGGTACATTTCTAAAAATCATGCAGTTATGATCATGTTCCAGTGAAAATCTTAGAAGTAAATTTTGAACATGCATGTGGTGTTCACAATTGTACTGACCAATCCTATGTTCAGGTGTCAAATAGCTGTGCATCAAGAATGCTATGGAGCAAGAAATGTCCGTGATTTTACAGGATGGGTTTGCAGAGCATGTGAGACGCCTGATATTGAGCGCGAGTGTTGCCTTTGTCCTGTGAAAGGTCCACTTTGTTTGCCTTTTCTTGAACTCTAAGAAGCTCCCAATATTAAATTTGGTTTTTACCTTGTTTTCCATATTATCTTTACAAGTGCCAAGTAAGCTGTAAGGACTTATTTAGTAGATAGAATCTAAAGATATTCTCTTTCGCATATTCATTTGTTAGAGAATATCTGAATTACAGTTGAAACAAAAGCATACATCGAAAGCAAATAAAAGTGTCTGTTTTTTGTTTCATTTTATTTCTTTTTTTTTAAATATTGTATATATTGCTTAAATATATGCAACTTTGTGTTGTTGCACAGTACAGGAGGTGCTCTAAAACCCACAGACATGGCTCCGTTGTGGGTTCATGTTACTTGTGCTTGGTTTCAACCTGAAGTTTGCTTTGCTAGTGATGAGAAAATGGAACCAGCTGTTGGAATTTTGAGAATTCCTTCAAACTCTTTTGTGAAGGTACAAATGGAAAACCTCAATCTGTACTATTTGGTCATGATTTTTCTTTGGTAAATTGTCTCATAACTTACCAAACAAGCTCCACTTGTTTCTTTTTACCGTGGATGGATTTCAATATTTTATTTAGGTGGGAGAAAAATTGATAGTAAGTAATGTTTTTTAGATGAGGTTTTAAGTTTTATTTGTCATTTGATTTCAGATTTAGAAATAATTCAATTTCAAATTTTACTTTTTAATATTTCTTCACATATTGTGTTTTTGGTATTGATGTTTGCTTCGCTAATTAGTGCGTCAAATATTTATTAATTACAGATATGTGTCGTCTGCAAGCAAATACATGGCTCCTGCACACAATGTTGCAAGTGTTCTACATATTATCATGCTATTTGTGCCTCAAGGGCGGGTTACCGCATGGAGGTGATGATTTTTTGTGTGGATAGATGCTGATAATCCAGTCTATAATTAGACTGCTCATTTTAGCTGTTCAATAGGGTGTTTTTTATAGAAGGTCACAATCACATATTATTCAATTACCCAAATTATCAGAAGTTTTCCTCTTCCCCTGCTTCATGGTATTATTTTATCCAATTGTGCTTATGATCAGATGTCAATTGTATTGAGCAATATTTACTATTTTTTTGATTTTTTTATATATATATGTAATTGCAAATATAATAAATGTGCATCTCACGTTAAGCTTTATGACATACGTAGTATTTGTCTTCAAGGCTTAAAAGGTCTCAATCAAACCGATGTGTTTATATCACCATAGTGATATAAGCAAAGAAAACTTATATTATTATTATTACTATTAAACGAGATCCAGACCATGCTCGTAACACATAGATACATGATTACCTAAATGAAAGAAAAGTAGAAAACTATTGCACACATATTACTAATGGAAGATTGAAGAAAAATGTAACATATCAAAATGGAAAAGTATAAGGGTAAATTTGGAAAGTTGTAATAGTACATGAGTACAGTGCCAAGAGCGCTTGATGCACTTAAGCAAATATAAATGTAAGATATTCTTTCATTTATTGTTAAGAGCTTGTCATAATAAAAGAAAAGGCCAAAAGTGAATATCTCTGTATAGGGCAAATTTGGAAATAATAATGAAGTGCAATCAAAATGTTTTAAAAAATTACATGATGCATCTTACGACGCCAACATAGTAAACAAAGAATTACCTTCCTTGGATTAATCAATATCAAATTGCAACTCTATTTTTGGAAATATATACTGATTACAGCTCATTTATTTTTCACGTTGGTTTAACTAGTCAACATTGGGTTCTTGTCTGCATGTGTTCTTCATCTCTGTTCCAACCGGAATTTGTGGGTCTCCATTGTTGTTCAAAACATACCTACTTTATTATTGCTCACAATGCGCTTCAAACTGCAGTTGCATTGCTTGGAGAAAAATGGGAAACAAGTAACAAAAATGGTTTCGTATTGTGCATACCACAGGTAGTATTCCACTTTATCTTGTTTGATGAGAAAATGAAATATATATTTGAGAGAAATTAAGATTTTTTGAATGTGTATTTGTAACGAGAGTTAATATGATGACTTCTGTATTTGGTTTGGGATTCATGTTGTTTATAAGTGTGTGCATTGCATGCTATGTGTATCCTTAAGTTTTATTTGTGATGTGATGTCTTGCAGGGCGCCAAATCCCGATACAGTTTTAATCATTCATACTCCGAAAGGAGTCTTCTCTGCTAGAAGTCTTGCTCAGACCAAACATTCAGGTTCGCGCTTAGTACCAACAAGCAGATTGGCGCTTGAGGAAGCTCCAGCAGCTGAGATTAATGAAATGGACCCATTCTCAGCTGCAAGATGCCGTGGCTATGAACGACTGAGGGATAAGGTATTTTTTAAAAAAAGGAGGGATTTGGTATAATGATCTCACAACTGACACAAATAGAAATTAAACCTTCAATGTCACTAAGAAAGAGATGATAAGTATCTATTTATGTCATTGGCAAATCAATGAATATGAACTCTCTGTTAGTAGATCTCATGTTGATGTTAGGCCAACATATCACTTTTTGTGATTCACGTATCAGTTAAGCCATCAGATCTACTGCCCTGATGGATGCTCTAGATGGCTTGCTTTTAAGAGCCACCCTTGTACTGTTTGCATTTATTTATCTTATAGATTTGTTGAGGAAAGGTTTCAAGAATCCTTTACAGCTATATTTGTGAGATACTCTTCAGCTGTAAAGGATTTATGCATGTTAGGACTGCGTACACATTAGGGGTGAGGACTATTATGTGATTTACATTGAAGTCCTGCAAGCCTACCTACGGAATTTGGTCCTGATGATCACCAGGTTTTGTTGCTAGTTAGGATTTCATTGTTTGGACAGTGGACACTGTAGCCATATGAACTCAGACAAGAAACTTGAATCTTGTATGGTGTTCACGTGCGTTGTAAATTGTAATCTCATCTCGTGGAAGAGTAAGAGGTAGGATGTTGTAAGATCAAATGCAACGAGGCATATCGTCATTCTATGGCTTTAGCCACATGTAACCTTATTAGGCTAAAATAGTTTTCTTTAATAATTAATGTGAGATTATAACATGAATGCCATTAATACTCCGTATATGATAATCAAGAAGTCATGTAGCTTCAGATTTGGTGGCTCACGCGAAGACTGAACACATTGGAATTGATTGTCAGTTGCCACTTTATTATTATAGAAAATATTACGTATGGATGTAATTACGCTATTTGTTTCTTCTTCAACCAGTTAACTATTATATTCACCAGGCTATTGATAAGTCCTAGAATTAACTACGTTTCTTAAAAGATTGGGACATGTAGCTTATATTTTCAACCGTTTAAGGGAAGTGCTGAGAATATAGCTCAAGGATAGTCATTTACTGATTATATGCTGGCTAATCGACATCTGTAAAAGATCTCACAGCTGTGTATGTATAGAATGTAAAGTAGTGTTATGTATCTTGATTTGTACAACTATATAATGTAATCTTCTTCTAGGATTGAACACTATCGATTAAACTTCTTGCTCCATTTTTTTACAGAGAACAGGAGAAGAACCCATATTTCACCGGGTGATGGGTCCACGTCGTCATCCTTTTGCTAAATTACAAAGCTTGAATCCAATAAAAGTAGACTTCCATTTTCTTGGCATGTTTCTTTTTGTTTCCACCTTTTGCTTTAGAAGCATGATGTTTCTTATTTTTCCTTTGACAGGAAGTGACGGAGCCCAAGACATTCTCTACCTTCAGAGAGCGGCTTCGCCATTTGCAGGCATGAATATCTAGCATTCAAAGTTGTATAATGAATACTACTTCATTAGTCGATTTTTCTAATCAAAGGTATCTAACCTTTGGGTTGTTATGGCTTTGATGGATCTACAGAGAACAGAAAACGACCGAGTTAGCTTTGGCCGATCTGGCATACACAGATGGGGCCTGTTTGCGCGCCGAAACATTCCAGAAGGAGAAATGGTACACTCTTAAGCCTCTTTTGGTACCCAACAGTTGACTAATCTGTCATATCACAAAGTATATTTTGTGTCCTTCTGGCTTTCAGTTTTTACAGTTTCTTTAGACTAAAAAAAGGATGAGGGATGTTATGTAGTTAATATGCTAGTTTCATCATGTAATGAGTAATGACTACATGCTTTAGGCAATTAATGGATGCTTACATTCACTACAGGCTCTAGTTTCATCTTGGTTTAAGATCCCAATCAGTTTTTATTATGGCAATAATTTGATCCATTCTGAACCCCTCCTTCCTTATGTACATGAAATGAGGAATTTCACAAACCATTTTTTTTTTGTCATTTCAGGTTCTTGAGTATCGCGGTGAGCAGGTCAGACGAAGTATTGCTGATCTTAGGGAGGCAAAATATCGTGTTGAGGGAAAAGATTGCTATGTGAGTATTAGATGGACTCATTTTCTCCTTTTTCCCTTTTTTTATTTTCAGAGATTAATTTTTGAGACAAACAAAAACTCTTGTGCACATGAGAGAGCAAGAATGAAATGAAATAAATATCTCGCTTCCTTCTGTGATGCAACAATTTCTTTTGCAGCTTTTTAAGATAAGTGAGGAGGTTGTGGTGGATGCTACAGATAAGGGGAATATTGCACGCTTGATAAACCATTCCGTAAGTTTTGCTTGTGAAAGTGATCACCATTGTCATTAATGTTATAAGTATATACATTCCCTAATCATTTATGTTTTCAGCTCCAGGTTCAACCACTAAAGATCATGACCTTCCATATTTTCTTATTTAGGAATTAGCAAATTGTTTCTTTAAATGGGCATGTTGAGCAACAGTTTACTATTACTGCTTTTACAGTGCATGCCAAACTGCTATGCAAGGATTATGAGTGTTGGTGATGATGAAAGCCGGATTGTATTAATTGCAAAGACGAATGTGTCTGCTGGTGATGAGCTAACGTAATTCTCTCTCTCTCTCTCTCTCTCTCTCTCTCTCTCTCTATATATATATATATATATATATATATATATATATATATGTTACAGAAGGGAAACTACCAAAATAAGCGGGGTAAATGTGGGGAAACTTTTACCAATTTTCATTAATTAACGAAAATTGAGTACAAGGGTGGGGAGGGTTCCAGCAAGAACCCATATTAAAAAAGAACTCTTTCTAATGAGAACTTTTAATCTCAACCTTTTGTTATATTCATTCATTGGTTAGGATACACATATTGTTTTTTTGTAATTATTGAAAATCCAAACGGGGTTTTTTGTACTTATTACTATCATATAAATTAGTTGCAATTTCACCTAGTTGTTTCTGGCCATTGATTTAAAATTTGATAGAGGGAGACTAAAAGTTCTCATTCATAAATGTTTTTTCATTTTAAAAGGGGTTCTCACTAGAACTCTCCCCTATATATGTGTGTGTGAGTGGTTTTCAGTCAAATAAAAAGAAGTCTTAATGTGAATGATTTTCGTGCATTGGATTTGAGATCTGATAGCTTTAGAAGTGTCAACAATAAATCGAATTTAAATTAAAAAAACGCGGTGAAATTTTTATAAATAAGTGAATGTTTTGCCACCTTGAAAAAGTGTGGTATTAGAATTGAAAAGTGCAGTGTACCGAAGTAAAAGTGTGTGTGTGTACTACGTGTGTCTATATACCAGCACTTACGTGTATTTTGGTAAATGTGCATGGATCACGGACACATGCAGTGTAAACGGTTCGTATAGACATAATAATTTCATAATGATGATGTGTATTCACACTGGGGTTCCTCCATGCATGCAGGTATGATTACTTGTTTGATCCGGATGAATGTGACGAGCTCAGAGTGCCTTGTTTGTGTAAAGCTCCAAATTGCAGAAAGTTCATGAATTAGGCTTACTGGGTGAGTGATTGCTGTTTTTCTCCTCAAGGAGCTCTAACCATCTGGATTGCCTTCCCGACGTCATACTTCCGTGCATACCAGTTTTTGCCTCTTCTCCGGCGTATTAGCTCATCTATTAATTAGTTTTTGTTGATGCGGGAGGCTTGTTTTATAAATTATAGGCTTACCATATGTAGAAGGTAGGTTGTTTATTGGGGGAGGGGGCATTTTGTATAGATTTAATTTGTTGTTTATTGTGACTGAATGAATGATTAAAGTGAACAGTTTCCTCATAGAGATGTATACAAAAACAGTGGGGTGAGGGGAGGAGGTGGCTTGCTTGATTTTATAGTATGCCTTTTTCCCCTTATTCTACTATGTTTAGTTGAAGTTTGTCAAAGACTCAAAGTATGCTTCTAACCAATTGTGTGGTGATGTAGTTAGTACCGACCACAGGATTTCCTGTCCAATTTAATTGACGTGGCCTGTCGAAATTCATAGAAAAAGAAACTAACCTTGAGAATATTTTTTGACTAAATGTATATTTTTTTAGCTGGACTTTCTAGTCTCGTATAGTATGTGTTCAATAACTAATTGTATATTTAAGAATGAGAACAATTATTCAGTATTTATCAAATATTATAAAATGGAGTTTGTATATCTATAAATAAGAGAAAAAAGATCAAATACCCCAAACTTTGAAAGAGTGAAGTTAACACTTCGAACTTGCATATGTAAATATAAACATCCTGAATTTTATAGAAAAAGTTATAACGGTACGATAAACATGTGATTTTTCTTTCACAAATGTAAATTTATGGTGTTAAATAAATAACTTAAGCACGTTAACAATTATATTTGTCAAATAACATTTGTCAAATAACTAATATTGCCCCAATCTATATACCAAGTATATAATTGCAACACTTTTACTTTATTATTTGCTAATATATGACTTTGACTATTAGTAAAATTCACAAAGTCTAAAAAGACATATTTTAAAATTTTAATCCGGATTTTTTTATAATGTTTTATCTAAGAAAATTGTTAAACACACTAATAGATATAATAAAATCAAAGTAGATTGTGCATAATGTAAAAGTCATTAAATATGGTAATGATGAAAGTTGTGCGATGACAAATAGTAAATTAAAAGCGTTGCAAATATACACACTGAGGTAATATATTTATTTCGTAGTGGAAGTTTATAATGTTAATTTTTATCTTTAGGAATGCTAAAAGTATTTTAGATTATGTACATAAGACCATATTTTACATTTGCGAAAGAAAAAAATATGGTCATGGTGTTAAAACAATTTTTTATACCCGGAGTATAAAATTTGGAATATATATTACATATATAAGTTTGAGGTGTTTACCTCACACCCCTTCAAAATTTAGAGTATTTAAATTATTTTCCAAAGGAAAAGTTTGCCTAATAATTATGGTGTGACATTATGTAAGGGGGCTCCAGCATTGGTGAACTTTTCAAAACATGATCATAGTCTCATAGAGTGAGCGAGGCATATGGTTATTATGTGTCTAGATGAAGAGATAGCCTAAGGTGTGAGTTAGATTTAAGAGTTATGATTCTTATTATGTGTAGGCGATATTCTTTTAAAAAACATCTATAATGTGTTTATTTTTAATGTACGATTGCAAATGCATATATTATTGAGACATGAATGAATTAAATGTTATCTTAATTTGCCCGTAGACCGCATGGATACCCACCCCCACATACCATAACCGGCCGGTTTCCGAAAACGGGATATAGTCCCCTCCTAATTGTTCCTATATCACTTGAATTTGCTTTGACTCAACTCTTAAGTTTCATTAAAGAGATCGACTTGACAATACTTATGTTGTTGTACTCCGCTACTCCTTATGTCTATTCGTCATTCGTGTTTAGGGATGAACCCGGTCTGCAAGTCCTGACCGGCTCCAAATCGGATCAAGCACTACACCTTCATTCTATAACCTACACTTCTAATCTCTCATAATCTCTGATCTACTCGTGTTATACTCTATTCTCGCACATTCTTTATCTTTTTTTAACCCCGGGGGCAGGGGAGGGGGTTTGGGGGGCCTGGGGTAAATTGGGATTAATCTCACTCCATTGAGAATTGAACCTGGGACCTCCCATAAGGGAGAGTGAGTCGGAGACCAGCTGGGCCGGATCGCTTCCTCTTCTTCATCTTTATATTTATACTCAATACATTCATATACGGAGTATGTATATACATAATATATACTCTCTCTGTCTCGTTGAAAGGTTCTCACTTTCTTTATTTGGGTATCCCATTCAAGGGTTCACATTCCATTTTAGGAAATAATTTACTCTCTTTGTCTCTTTGAAAGGTTTCCGCTTTCCTTATTTGGGTATCCCATTTAAGGGTTCCCACTTTCTGTATTTGGGTATCCCATTTAAAGATTCACATTCCATTTAATTACACTTTTACTCAAATTTCTCTTTTATACTCATTAAATGTCAGGTCTCAAAATTTCCCCTCCCCTAACTTACTCCCCTTAAAAACTTTCACTCTAAATGTTTACTTTTTCTAAATTTTACTTTCCTCTCTTTTTTACCCAAATTACATTATATAATCACTTGCCTAAAAAAATTGTGTCATTTACTGACACGAACCTTCCAATGCGGCGAAGACAATAATGGTTTATTACATTAGAATATTACTTACAATTATTTATTTTGTAATTTGTACATAGATATTTTTGTATTGTTCAACACATACATTTTTTAGCAACTTATTTACACAAATAATTATACAAAAAAAATACACAAATAATTATATATAATGCATACTTCAACTTTGAAGTATTTTGAATTGTTTTCCGAATTTTAAGCAATCTTTTTCTGAATGTACAAGTCAATTGAATTTTTGAAGTACATGTACATTTAATTTTTAATGTATATAATCCTTTGATTATTTGAAGTATTAAATCATTAGACAAAATGGGGGGAAAAGTCCGAGATTGAGACCGGGACTGATTGACCGATCTACCTAACCCTATTCCAGCCCGGTTCATGTGGCCCGGTACCGGGCTTCGACCCGAACTGGTGGTAAAAGCGGGGCGGGTACGGGCTAGGCAATATTTGCACCGGCCGGGCCCGGTTCGGGCCCAACAGTCAGAATTTAAAAAAAAAACCAGCCAAACACTACAAAAAAACACGGTCGTAGTCACGGAATTAGTCACGGACAGCAGTTTAATTTTTCCGTGACTAAATGATGTAGTCACGGTCGCTGCCCGTGACTAAATCCGTGACTTAATGGGCGTGACTAAATTGAAGTCACGTCCAACAAACCGTGACTAACTTTAGTCACGGACTAGTCACGGTCAGAAGCCGTGACTATAATACCCGCCGGAACCCCACTCCGGCGTATTAGTCACGGTCATGGACCGTGACTAAGTTTTTTTAAAAATTAATTTTAGTAGTCACGGCTTTGGACCGTGACTAATATTTCAAATTTTCAAAATTTTTAAAAGACCGCCCGCGGCGGTAATTTAAATTTTTGAAATTAGTCACGGGTGTCGACCGTGACTAATTGGTTTTTTATTTAAAAAAATAATAATTTCGGATTAATAATAGTCACGGATAAGCCCGTGACTACTTTTTTTGTTTTTTTAAAAAAAAAATCCAGTTTTCGTTTTTTTTTTTAAATTTTTTTAAAAATTACTTTTTTAAAAACGGAAGTTTACAAATTTAATTTCAAAATGTTTTTTGAAAAATGAGTTCTTGAAAATATTATACTATTTTTTTTAAAATAAATACATTATAAGAGTAAAAACATACAACAAATTCAATAATTATTGTGACAAACTTTTAAAAGTTTTGAAATACAACAAATAATAAATGTATGATGATTACATGTCCCGTGGGACTCCATTATGATAAAAATTGGGATTTTCTTCTTCTTCTTCATCATCAACAAGAAACTCATCTGGGTTCACGGGGGGGGGGGTCTTCAGGGTCAGGTCGGGTTCCTCCTCGGGGTGCTCCTCGGGGTCCTCCTCGGGGTGCTCCTCGGCCTCCGTGGCTCGGTGTGCCACTACCTCCTCCGGATGACCTCGCAAAATCAAAGGACATAGAACCGAAATTCGGGGAGATCATAGGCATGCCACCATATCCGGAGTTGGGGAAAAATCCCATACCGCCCATGTGCGGAACTTGAGGAGTTTGCTCAGGGTGGAATACGTACGGGGGAGGAAAAGGCTGTTGCGGAGGCTGGAATCCGGCACGCATGTACCGTTCCATCTCCTCCAACCGGGCTTTTGTGGCAGCATCTGCTTTCCGCTGCTCCTCCCATCGCCGTTCGTGCTCCTCTAGTTCACGCTGCATTGTGGCAATACGGGGATCTTCTCCCCGCCTTGACCGAGAAGAGGAAGCGCCGGTGCTTCGATCATACAAAATCCGTTGCCCCTCGGCCCCCAAGCACGGAACCCGGCCCTTGTAAACCCCGGCCGCCTCAATGGCCGCCTCATCATCCGCATCGGAATCGAGGTCGTCCTCCTGGGTCAAGCCTCGTGCCGCACGCTGCCTGTCGAGGGATTCGTTGTACTTCGTCTGCATTTTCAAAAAGATTTTTTTAATGCTACATAGTTAGATTTGAAATGTTACTAAATAACAAAATATGATGTTACATACTTCGAAGTCAGCGAGGCGGGGTGGCAAATCGGCTTCAGATTCCTCGCCGTGCTTCGTCCAGCAATGCTTGACGAGCCGGAGAACATCAACCTTCTTCTTCTCAGGACCAGCCTAAATGGTGCGAAAAAGACTTAATTAAATTTTTTATAATGAAGGAATGTGATGTTGTAAGGTTTTTTGAATAGCACTTACAAGAGTTTCTTTATGGGCATTCTGAGATTTACGACCTCCGTGCCACTGCATCTCCAAGGCCTTCTCGGACATCCGGTTTTTCTTACCGGATTCACTTCTGGCCAAGAATTTCGGATCAGAAGACCAGTGGCGACAAAGGTTGGACCACACTTCATCCGAAACCCATCTAGGCTTTTTCCCACTTTTTCGCGCACGTTTAAAAGTGGCGCGAAGCCAGGTCGAAATCCTAGCATTGTAGGCTTTAAGAATATCGGCACCGTGAGCGTGAGTCCAACGATAGCGAGCCTTTATTAAAACAAATTGGATTAATTAATCACCAGGTATATATTAGGCCAATACAATCAGGAAGAGAACATTCATTTATTTTTACCTTGAACAGGTTCCACCATAGTTCGCGAACCTTGGGGTCAACATCTGACAGTGTGGCCCAAGTGCCAAGAAAGTGTCCTCCGATGATGTTTTTGATGCCCGTGAACACTTGTTCGTCACTTAAAAAAATTAATAGTATTTATTTATATAAGATTTGGTTTGATTATTTAACATTATATAAAATTATTGAAAAT